ACTCTACTTTCAAACATGAAACTGTTCATACACACATTCAGCCCCCAGAGATAATACTATATATAATAGCCTTTCACTGCAATTACGGCTGCATACTCGTTTTTGGAGTGTGGCTCTGCTAGCTATATAAATGCAAAGGAAAGATTTTAATCCTTTCCTTTGCATGTGATCTGAACCATTTTTATATCTGTTTTGAGCTTGGCTCCACCATCTGACGAGGAGTGTTATTGTTGAAGACAGTAACCAACAAAACCACTCCACAGTCAGGCACCAGTTTTAATCTTACAAATAAATTCACAAAGAAATGTTTGCCAATTAGAGATTTTAAATTGAAAACAAAAAACAATAATGTAAAGGGGGGTAATAACCAGCTTTTTAAAGCACAGGAGTTATTCCCACACTGTCAATTTGGTGTAGCTGACGTACTATGTTGGACGTCCCATGTAGATTCCCGGGGTCGGGGTGTGAGGTCTTTTTGTGATTGAGAAATCCACCCGAATTCTACGACCGTCCAACTCCATGCCATTCGCTCGGTCCTTTGCCTGATGGCAAACAAAGTGTGTTTTAATATAAAATCCCAAGCAGGGTTTCTATTTAGACTTTTTTTAAAATAATAATTGTTTAGATAAAATGTTCTACCTCTTTAGCATCAGCTGTGTTCTCAAAGTAAACAAAAGCAAAGCCCCTGGAGCGCCTGGACTGCTGGTCATACACGATGCAAACATCTGCCAGTGGCCCGTATTTAGAGAAGACGTCCCTCAGATCCCTCTCTGTGGTGTACAGGCTCAGGCCAAACACTCCCAGGCAAGCATTTGGATCTGGATTAGCCTGTAGTTTTAGGAAAATTAAAGGTAAACATTTGACTATACAGAAATTAATTACACAAAAATATGCATATTTATTTCCAGGCTGGTAATGTTAGATCAAAACATGGAAAAAAAGAAACATGGGTTACTCACAATGGATAGCATCATTATAATTACCAATTATGTTGCTATTTGTTTTTTCTTATATTGTGCTACTCCATAAATATAATGAATGAATACATGTGCCAGAACAACACACCCGATTGCCGATGTGCCTGCGGCGATTAGACATGGGGGAATGACTGAGGCTCCTGCGTCGGCGCTCTCCGCTGTAGGAGCGGCTGCGGGACCGGCGCCGGCCGGACCTGGAGCGCGACCGGGAATGGCTGTAGTGCTTATGAGAGCCATGGTTAGAATGGGAGCTGAAACGGCAGAGACAAACTTTTAACATTTATCCAAAACACTGCTTGAAGGATCTGATTTCTGTGCCACTATTTGCTCTTAAAAAAAAAAAAAAACTCACCCTGATCTGGACCTGGAGCGGGACCAGGACTTAGAACGGGAATGGTGGGATCCATCTTTTGAATGAGCTGGAGAGCGGCTCGCCGACTTCCCCGGGGCACGGGGACTCGCGCTCCTGGAAGCGGAGCGAGACTCCTGAACGAACCACACACACACACACACAAGCACGTTATCACAGAAGAAGTGATAAATATGAATGAATGTGCTACAACAACTCTGTCGTTGAGATTTAAAACTATCCTGGAAAATTTGAAGGAAAAAATAAATACACAAGATGTAGAAATTGGCAATTATGAATGCAGGTTAAAGCAATTTTATCTAACCAGTGGAAGTATGGTATCACTAGGATTACATCAGCAAATATAATTAGGTAATTAAGATTACAAAAATAAAATAGCAATAACATAAATTAAAGTGTGATGTATTCAATAACAATGACATGCACGCATTGGATAAATAGACCAGAAAATTACTTAGCGCAGCGACCTTATCCAGATTACTTCCTTAACTTCATTTCTGTAACTTCATTACTTCACATTATTCTTCTTTCTTCAATTTTCTTACATCTTCTGACTTCCCCTTCTCACACACTGCTCAAAGTTCTTCCCTCCTCATGTTTAGCATGCATTCAACAATTCAGCTTCACACATCTGAGCTTCATATTACTGAAAATAAAGTGGACATGAGACTTCTTCTGCATTTTCTTCGTCGAACCTTAACCTTAATGGAAAAGAAAAGGATGAAGAATTTATGACTACAATTAAAACGGCACGCTCATTCAAATTTTCATCAGGATTAAGTTTACAAATGCTCAGTGTTAGTTCAATTCGTTTCACTTTCAGTGGTTCCACATGCACTACTGTGTCTTAATAAGATTGCAATAAAAGGGAAGATGCAATAGTTCTGTAAATTGTTGCTCAATGAGCATTGGAGCCAATTGGTCAACCCTGTTTTGTTTTTTCCCTGGTGGAAACCCAGGGATTTTGAACACAAAAAGGAAATTGCACACAGTACATCTATTTGTTCCTAATTTTAAACACACTTTTCCTTTTTACTTACAAAAAATATAAGCAGTCTTGTTCAAATAGTTCCCGTTAAATTGCATTCCTATCATAGTGAATATAAAACCACTGTAAATGAAAAGGGCATAATCAGAATTAAACCCACCCCATTGTCTCCCCTTATACCCAAAAATAAAGTAAATCTAGGTTAACAAAAACAACATCAAGTCAAAGTTACAGCTCATTTGTATTCACCTTTATCAAAAAAAGCAGCGACCACGCTGTAAATGCCGATGTGTCATTATCTTTACTGAAAAACCAGATCTGCCCTACCCTTTGGCATACTGTTAACTGGTTAAGCAGGCGTTCAACGAGTCACAAGATGATTGAAGATAAATATTTGAGGTGTTCCCAAGTTAGGACATTGCTTGCTAAATCAAAGTCAAGTTCATACTTCAGCAGAAGGAAAGATGAACAAGCTACAATGCTGTTCCTGAAGTTTGCGTCTGATTGGAAACTCACGCTTTATTCTATGAAAAAAGGGCTTTTTAATGATATTGTTTCATAGGCAGGTGTTTCATAAACATTCAGTTTCTAAAAAAATAAAAGCTTTTATAGGATTAAAACCAACTGGTAATGGCTGATAATAGGATCACCTCAAACACTGCTCAATCCCAGATAAACCTAAAGACATGTGTATGGGTTAATGACAGACTCAAAAACATGTTTGTACAAAAAGAAGCGTCGTTGTACATTTTCCACAATTAAGATATGTCACAAATTGCATTTCTTAATATGCATAAAATGATCCAGCTTCAAATTTGAAAGATATTTGTATTTTAGATTTCAAACCAAAGCGGAACAAAGACTGCATTCGTCGAATTTTGTGAAATAGCCCTTTTAAAGAATCTGCAGCTGTGAATCGGACACCAACTTCAGCATCGTGCTCCATTGTCTACTCAGCCGAGCAATTCATTGAAGCGCCTGCTTAAAACAGCGAATATCACGACCTGCATGACGGGGTGAAATGAATGAAGAATCTTGAGGCCGTTTGATTTAAAGCAGCAAATTATTTTTATTCTTCCGTGTCGACTTAATGGCGCGGGTTAGGCGCGCCAAAAAAAAAAAAACACAAGGAAGGAAACCCCATGCTGCTGTTCAGCCAACATGACTAAATAAAGTGCATATTTCAAATAAGTATAAAACCCACCCAAAAATGAGCCAAACGAAACGCATATAACTTAATGAACGATGTCATTTCGTGAGGGACAAAACGGCGTCACCTCGACGTTCTAGAATATTCCATCAAAGGACATGGAAAATGAAATTTCTATGCTTAAAATATTTACATTTACAAGACTTTGGTTTGCCTAACTTGCAACGTCTCCGTCTTCTTGTTGTTTCAAGCGTTAATTTAACGAAAGGTTGCTAAATCGAAAGGAGATAAAATTAACAATAAAGATAGGCTTCGATTTGTAAGTTCCTATTTATGAATTCACAAGACAGCCATCTTCATGTAAAAGAAAATCTCAGTGCATGTTTAAATGTATAAACGGTTCACATGTGTCGTATGTCGTATAAATATTTTTAAATCAATTCGAGGTGCTAAAAGATAAAAGCGGTCATTTTAATACTCTACAACCTTCTGTAGCCCAGAAATTTAATACACGATAAATAATCTTAAACTTCATGAGTGGGACTTTTATCGTTTTAGCACCGGATCTAATTTAACGTGTTGCTAAAAATATATATGTTGTAACCGAGCTGGTGGCTAATCACTGGCTACGAATCGGAAGCCAGCTTCTTCACCGTCAGCTTTAAGGCCTAGTTAACACCGAAATGCTAGCATTAGCCAGGCAGCTAAAGTTAGCGACATACGTTTTTTACAGCAAGTTATTATACACAGTCTATCTATGAGAATCACATCAGCGTCTTTAATGCGTTAGAGAAATACGCATATAAGGCTACAACTGAAATTTTAAGCCACCAAGGTGAGCATTTGGTCTGTGGTGTCAGTTGATAAATAACAAAAACCGTTAATATGACAGTTTTCTCATCAAATGGCTTTTTTGTTGCTGTTCATGCACCACAGGAAATAAAAAAACAAAATTGCATCAGAGTTCATACGTACCCGGCCTTTATCATTGTCGCTCATTTTTAGGGCTAGAGAATAAGCTACACGGGGAAATAAGTCTACCTGATACTAATATGCGAGGCTAACGACTGTGGTGGTGTGTGTGTACGCGCGTGTGTGTGTGTGGTAATATAAAACTGTAGTTCCTCCCTTCCTCGACTGTTCTCACAACCACGTGACCTAACAACGTAGAAACGTACGTCATTTGATAAAGTTGAAATATATTCATTGGAGAGCTTTTTTTTCATTTTTAAAACATATTGCACATTTTAAACAGGAGTGCAACAAATTTGACAATTACTGGTGAATTCTATTTAATTTATTTTTATAATTAAAAATTTTTTTTTTATCTCCAGTTCAGGTAGTCATCATTTTGCGGGAACACGTGTGAGGCGCTCGATGTTTTCAGTGCTGTCAGTCAAGGTCATGTTATTACTGCTGTGATGTCGCCTTGTTTATAAGAGGATCAGCTTTATTAACCCATCTCTGATAAGTACACAAATTGTGAAACTGGCCACAAGATTTTCTGTTGCATTTTCTTTATTTAAGCGGACAGAATAGTGGGAATGACAGAAAGGATGATACAGGATTATTTCTAAGACACTTGAAACAATTATCTAGAAGCTTCAGCACTGAGTATGTTTATTTATGGCTGATCTTTTAGCAATTCAATGGCCTTGCACTAAAAAACAAAAAACACAATTGAAAAAAAATTAAACCTCTTAATAATAAAAGCACATCTACTGCAAAAATAATTTATCTAGAGTTCTGCATCGTTTACTCGAGAATATGTACTTCACACATACAGCAGGACAGTACTGTTGAGATATTGAAATTCATTACTCATTAGCACCTGTAAGTGAGAAAAAAACAATCAAGCAGATTAAAAGTTATTTTAAATTCCTTTTTTTTCCTTTTTTTTTGGATATGTATGTGTGTCATTTTACATACCACAGCTATAAAGAAGATTTATTTTATGCAGGTCAAGTGCACTTGGTCCATCTCGCTGGCCAATAGGAATGTAAGGGTCTGGTTTGGGGATGATTGTTGGTCCACCTTCTTCAGAGAAGGCATATCTGAAGCAGAGATTTAAGGTTACTCCAGCATTCATCAATGCAAAGAGTTCATTTTTAAATTGATTCTGAAAAGTATTTGTCCTTAATCAAATTTCTTCTGTTTTTGTCAGTTTTTTTTTAATCATTGTTAAATGTTTCAGATCATCAAATATCTTACTCATAAGATTACTTCAGTAAATAAAATGTTTAGTTATTGTATAATAAGTTAGTTCATTAGGGACACGTGCTATGGAAACATATGGACCCACATGAAAAAAACAATTCTCTAAACTTTAACACTTTATATTGCTTTTGCTAGTAACAATTGCCATCAGAAATTTTGCTGGTGGCAATGAGTGTTTTACATCGCTCCTTAGGAATTTTGGCCCACTCTTCTTTGCAGAATAGTTTTAATTCTTCCACCTTACAGGATTTTTTAGCATGAACTGCAATGCTATGGTATCTCAACTGCATCCCAGTCTGGATTTTGATGAGGGCACTTCAAAACCGTAATTCTAGTTTGGTCTTTAGCCATTCACATTTGGACTTATTTTCATACTTTGCATCAATATCCTGCTGCAACATCATAAACCTGATGGCTGGACTGCATGGTTTAATTAGTTACAATAACTCGTCCATTTACTGAAGTGGAAAAGCTGACTCTGATCACCTCGTATAATAATTTCATCACAAATGCAACTGGACACATCATAATCTGAAAAGTTTAACTTTTTTCTCATCAGTCTCTACAATATTCTAAAAAAAAAGAATTAATGCATGAATCAACAATTACTTTTTCACACGAGGCCAGGCTGGTTTGGATTATTCAAGTAATATTTTAAAGATCCCCTTTTGCATATACTTACTCATCTTTATTTTATATTAAATTTGTTTTAATATAAAACAAATTCGCTTTTTACATAAATGACGTATAAAGCAAACACAGAAGGCACATTTTGCCTTAAGCAGCATCTCACCGTCCATAATGCATGACAGAACTGTAGTCGTATGGGCTGTTCAGATTGTTCGTCGCCTGTTTCCTGAAGTTGTGTATTTGTTCTGTCACACGGAAAAAGGGACATTAGTCTTATTTAGTTCAAATGTATTGGGACGCAGCCAATCATCCAAACCTGGCAAGATGTTCTTCCACACAATGGTGACATAGTGGTCTCGGTCAGAGCGGGATTGCTCATGCACAAAGCCGAGGGCGTGCATGAATTCGTGAGCAGCAATCCCTGACCACATGCATCCAGGAGTCTGCAGTGACAGGGTCTGGCTTCCCCCAGTCTGCCCCAGAAACGACCAGCAACTGGGGGAGCACAGAGTAAACCTTAAAGTGCTTCCTCACACAAAGCAGAGTTACATGAAGTAAGGAGTCCGTCTCACCCGTATCTAGGCTGGATGTCGAGGAAGCTGGCCTCATGAGTGCGAGGAATAAATTTGATGCAGGTTCCAGAGGAAATTTCTTGCATTCCTGTTTCTATCGTAATTCTGTCCATATCATCTACAGATAAAAAAAAAAGACTATTTAATTCAAATAGACCAAAGTGTGTCGATCTGTAAACCTCTTTAAAATGGATTCCTACCGTATACAGGAGAGAGGAGGTAGGGAACGTAAACAAATCCATCAATTGATTTAGGCCACAGACAGGCATTCCCAGGGCAGTTTATGGCACTGCGCACGTATGAATACGCAATATCTCCTTCTCTGAATGACATTCCTCTGGGCGCTCGCAGCCCTGAAGTGCCACATTTAACAAAACTTACAAAGAGTGAATCGACATAGTTTATTTCAATTTACATTGCACTTACTGCTGTTGACTTCTAGGATCTGATCCATTGCAGTCATTTCTTCTCGTTCGATGAGTTCATCTTAACACAAAAACATAGTAATTCTTGTCGGTTTTGTAAATATTTGTGTTTCAAATGTTAAATATCACTGCATGTAAGTGTGCATCTCAGTAAACTAGAATATCATTAAAAGGTAATTAAATTAAAAAAGTGGAATTAGTTTTATTGAAAAATTTTAAATGTTTTTCCCATTAACTTTTACAACTAGGGCTTATGAATCAATGGATATTAAAGAACCCAGAATTTTGTTTCTTAAAAATTTGGAATATTACATTTGACCAGGCAAATGATTTTTAATATAGATAGGCTATTTTGTGCGATATTAGAGACTATAGCTAGGAAAAACTGCCAACTAGACAGTTTCCCAGAATACAGTTACTAACACCCTGCAGAAGGAGTGTAGGCCACAAAAGACCTTTGCTGAAGAAACTGGTTGTTCACAGTGTGCTGCATGACAACATATTAATGGAAAGTTAGTTAAAGGAAAAAGTATCATAAAAAACCTATGCTGATTTAATTTTCCAACAAGACTTAAAAGCTGCAGGCCACCATTACAGCAATTAACAGAGTCACAAACAATTGCCTCCAAAAAAAAGTTGCACTAACGCAGATTAATCATGGCAAAAGGAGCCTCAACCGAGGAGGACATAGTTTTATTTGTAGGGCACTGTCTAGTTCTTTATTGATCTAATATGATGTTTAAATAAACAAAAATAAACACTTGAAATATGCCACTCTGCATGGAATGACTCTATATGAGTTTCACTTCTTGAATTGATCATGTTCATACTGAGATGCAGCTGTATGTAAATACCTTCTTCAAAGAGCTCTCCAGAGTATTTCCTCTTCAGTCTCAGTTTGCCCTCATGTACGCCAGTGGAATTCTGTCAGTAATGTTGTGAATAGATGTATAATATGAGCGATAAATTATTTAACTGTAGAGTACAATAAATCTACTTCTCTATATAAAAGCATTTTCTCTTGGTACTGACCTTAACGGGGACCATATCCACCGGGATGAGCACGCCAAACAAGATGCCGAGAAGCACAACTCTAGAAGCCATATTTGCTTTTTCAGGTTTCCCCAGTTTCAGATCACTGCTCAGCAAAGTCCCACCTTCAATGGATCTATATACCCACTTCTCCTCCACTGCTCTGTACTGATTGGGCTCCACTCCTGTGATGAGAGTGTGGGCTGAGACCTCTCATCATCCAGCGGGTGTAATTTACTCAAGTCCACTACTGATCCGCAACAGGTGGTCCCGCTGCTGGCCTTCATTATTCAGCACTTTCTGAAATGAGACACTTAGAGGTGTTTTGCTATCAAAGCAGTTGCTTTCAGAGGAATAAATCTCCACCCAGTCCCGCAAGACCAGCAATTTGAGTCTGACTGTAATGGTAACCAGTGATTTAGTGATATACTATCAGATGATAACGACAGCTCAGGTAAACATATATCAACAGGAATAAATCCCTCCCCAAACATCGTTCCTATTTTTATTAAGGGGCAATTTTGAGGGGTAAACACTTAAAGGGCGAGTGGTGTGCGGTAACAGTGAAATCTGCCACTTATGGTTATCATATCACAAAAATGGTAGGAAAATAAGGCCAGGAAGAATTATTTTAATATAAACCAGATTGGCTTTCTATTTGCCAGTATTTCTATTTGATTTCTATAATCAAATGAACTGCAACTTTTTCTTTATTTAATATCATCACCCAAAATCTTCACCCACCTCAACATATTGCAATAAAAATGATGCAATTAGTTTTTTTTATTCTTTAACATCTTTATTGCAGGAAGTGAACAGGGATATTATGTGACTACTTAAAACAAGGCAATAACTTTCCTTTCATCTTTCACTGTACAAAGATATAAGTCAATTCTGTCTACTAAAACATTAAATATAAAGTTACATGTCTCACTCAAAAAAAAATACAAGTTCAGCTACACAGAACAAGGCCTAAAATATTATGAGATTGTATGAAGATGTTTCAGCAGCAATTTATCACATCTGCTTTCAGAGGATTCCTGCTTCACCTTGTCTTGGTTCGGTTTCTAATCATCATTCACGGCTGCAGAAAGAGACAAAATGAAGCAGTATTTAGCTTATTTACCAATTGATATAGTAGCTCTGAAATATATGCTGTTAAATGTTTTTTCTGTACGAACCGCATTGATAAAGCCTGTTGATTTTCAGCTTGTCAACATGACTTAGAGATGACGCCTGGCCGAGCTTAACGTTCCTGCCGTTCTTTGGGACGATGGTTGGTTCTCCAGCCATTGAATAGGCATACCTTAACATAGAAATATGCAAATGCTGATAACAGAGAACAGTACCAGGTAAGACATTTCTCACATGGGCTTTGCTTCAGGTGTGATGTGTTCAAAGTGACAGCGCAAGCCGTTGTCTTGAATTTGTTTGTGTGTGGAAGCACTGTTTCTACCTGCAGTCTAACATTTATGTATCTATCCCCAATTCTGCAACGTGCTTTGCTTCTGTACCACATATATTCCTTCCACTAAACTTTCCATTTACATCTTTAAAATGTTTGCTGTAAGCTGTCAGAGACAAGAACATTTTAGTGATTAGAAGCATTGTTTTTGGTCTTACATTACATTTTTCTGAGAACCTGAATGTGTGATTATTCTATTTATTTTATGAGTTTCACATTTTAAATTTACTGAATTTCATAAATTTATAAAATAAAAAATATTTTTATGTTTTCTAATTCACTGAGATTCACCTCAAGATTAGAATTAAATGCAGTTTTACACATAAAAAATAAGACTTACATCCCAAAGTGCATAATTGAGCCAAAGTCATATGGCAGGTCCAGATTTTCTGTTTTAAACTTCTCAAAGTTTCTTAGCCGATCTGTTGGAGAAAAAAATGCATTGCGTTTTTTCATTTATTGTATTTGCTTGATGTGTGTGTTAAAGGTCACCAGTGTGTTTTGATATTACCTCTCCAAATGTTCGGCCACATGATGGTGACGTAGTTGTCACGGTCAATGCGGGACTGCTCATGCACGAAGCCTAGGGAATGCATGAACTCATGGGAAATCACTCCAATATGCATGCAGTCGGGATTCTGGAGTGACAGGATCTGTTTTCCTCCACGAGAGCCAAGGTAGGACCAACATCTTCATTTACAAATAAAAACATAGAAAAACAACACTCTTTGATGTATATGTGATGTATATGTTTTGCGAAAAAATTTCTATTTTATTAAAATAATTGTATGTTGTGATATATGGATTTTCTGGTCATAACTCACCCTGACTTTGGCTGGATGTCGATGTAGTCTCTTTGGTGAGTTCGTGGAACAAAACGGATGCAAGTGCTGTCTTCTATGTTGTCCATTCCCTCCTTTATCAGCTTTGTCTCGACGTCAGCTGTTTATTTATTTAAAGGATGTACACAGGAGTAAGAAATATTACTGAAGAATATTCTGTAAAAACGTTCTACAGTGTTGGTGGGTTTACCAAACCCTTAACTTACAGTAATCAGGTGAGAGTGTGTAGGCAACATAGACGTGTCCATCCACAGATTTGGACCAGAGGCAGCTCCGGGCGAAGCAGATCTTTGAGCGCCTTCCAGTGGACACAGCGATATCTCCCTCTCTGAGGGTGGTGGAACCGTCAATGACGTGGGAAGCTGAAGTAGAAATGATTCATGACAAAATAAGAAATAGTCAAAATTTCAAAATATGTTAAAAAATCTCTCAATAATTATAAAATACTAACCATGAAACTCATTGGCTTTAATTATTTTATCCATTGCAGTGCCCTCTTGTTTTCCTTCAGGCTCTAGAAAAGAAGAGTTAGTCAGCATAGGTTCTGCCATCATTTCAACTATATTCACAATGTTTTGTTTTTTTTATTAAACAAAAATTACCTTTGAAACCAACAGGTACCCATTTGGGACTGAGTAAAAATTTCTGCAAGAAAAAAAAAGAAGAACCGAGCAGTAAGCAGATTTCTACATGTAAAACTTCCACTCTTTCTTCCATTCCTCTGCATGTTTACCTGAGCATTCACAGCCGAGAGACAAGCTGAGAGCGCACACAGCAGGATAATCTGCCCCATCTTTTCCTGACAGATCCTTCTTCAGTGTTGCCATTTGACCTGCACTAACACCCAGTTTTATAGGCCGCTGTCCAGAGATAATACCCATGATTATCCCAGGTAAATTACTGGGCTGCTGTTATTTGTTTGTCAGTGAGTTTAATCCCCTAATTAGTTTGACTTTTTTTTTCAAAAACAACATCTTCAACAGGAGCATAATGTGAGGTCCTACAGTTTAATAACAGCTCGACTGCAATTTAAATTAAACGGTCTAATGTTTGGCACTGGATCAGTACAATTTTAGGATTTAGATGGTGTGCATGTTCACCAGGACTACTGTTTTCCATTTTACTAAAACTAAGCTTACTCATAGTTCACATGCTATGTTATGCTGCTGATTTCACATTCTAACATATTCTTATCCACACGCTTGAATGCCTCTGAAACCAAATCTTTCTGCAGTAATAAGTATGCTTTCATACAACCAGGATTACTGTGTATATAGACTCCTATGCATACAAAATATAATTCCTGATTAGAGTTTGGGTTCATCTGTATATGTGGAGATTAGGACAATGTTGTTGTATTTTGCTACTTTCACAAAATCACAAAAATCACAAAAATTTGCTGTAAAACCATTTTTGTTCAGCATTTGAGAAACTGTTGCTTTTTAATTCAGTGTCGCATTACAAAACTTAAGCATGTTTTCTTAGAATTGTGTGCAACAAATCAACACAAGTGGGGCGTAATTGCGAGATGTAAAAATCAAAGAATGGTTTTCAATTTGTTTTGACGAATAAGAGTTTGTAAAATCACCTATTTCTGCCGTTAGACCTGCAAATAATTTTCTCCCTTTTTTTGTTAATTCTTCTTTGCAGAATAACTTTACCTTGCTCATTAAAATTTATGAAAAGATACCATGCCTATTTTAATAAAATTCTGTTTAAATTATTTACCCCATGCTTTTCTTATAACTTTTAATGTAACTTTTTGCTCATTCTAGAGTTGATTTCTTTGAAATAGTAGGTTTGTTTGTCTCAATAAATCCAAAGTGATACATTTTGCACCCTAAAGAACAAGAATTTCAGCTCAACATTATGAATGACAAATAGTGAATATTAGCACAGCCTAAAGGATGGGTATCACAAAGACAATAAGAATTAGTTCTCAAATTGCCACTTGAATTAGGTATTTAATTAGAAAATATTTGAGAATTGTTTCAAATCAATCATTAAAAATCATTTAAAACAATGATTTAAGTTTGATATGCATTTAATAAATAAAGGGAATACTTTATTTCAGAGAAAATTGGTAAATTTGTCTTCTAGCTGACTGGCTGATGCATTTCTAATCAGTTTGAACCAAATTGCATTTCAGCAATTTCACTTTTTTTTAAAACTGATTAATTTACTTTTTGCAATTTGTATGAGATGTTAAGTAATTTGTACATATTTGTTTTTATGCAGTTTTTCAAATTCAGATTTGCATTCTCATTCAGGTTATACTGTCTGTGTGTCATTTATTTGCATTTTATTGTTTGAAACGCGGTGAAACTACAGTCACAACGAGGAAAGGCGTGATTTCAACAGCTGTTTAAAGCAAAAATTGGACACAGCTGCAACCAATTTTGGAAGCAAACAGAAAAAAATGAGCGCCCGAACAGGGACTTGAACCCTGGACCCTCAGATTAAAAGTCTGATGCTCTACCGACTGAGCTATCCGGGCTCTACATTCCGGAGGCGGAAGCATCCTTCATAACGCAGAACCATACGTCACGTGTCGACAGACGTTTTACTGTTGTGAAATAACACCTCGACAATAATGACAGCATTTTCTGACCTTACATTTTTCCAAGAGAAAAGCACATCTGTAAGTCGACTTGGTATAGAATTCAACGTTGATAAGGCGTTCAACACGAAAATTGTTTGAGGGAAAAAAAAACAATTTTTTTTTTCTTGTAGAAACAAATTAAGGACCTGGAGCGTGCTATCAATGAAACCACTCAGAAACTGGAGGATTTAACATATTCTTATCCACACGCAGGAAAGACTGCGTGTTGAGGAGGAGACCGCTCGCTGGTATTGACTTTGTGCACCGCGACATTCGCGTTTAAATTCATCTTCTTAAAAGTATTCATACAGACAGCTGCCTTGATGATGTCATTGCTAAAGGTTGCATGCCAGACGTCCATGAACAATACGTCAGCTT